GCAGACACTCAAGAATTTTCATTGTCAAGAAACTAAAGTGTCCACATTTGGGTCATTTAACTAAACAAAGGCCACAATAATATAGTAGTTTCCTTACAAGAGAAAGCTGACCAATAAAACTTTCTCATATTCAAGAAAACTGCCCTGATGGCGTGGTCCAGTGGTTAGAACATCAGCCTGCGGACTGAAGGGTTGTGGGTTCGATTCCGGTGAAGAGCACACACCTGGGTTGCGGGTTCGTTCCCTGGCCCCAGTCAGGGCGTGTGCAGGAGGCAAACAATCCACTGTCCCCCACTCTCTTCCACTCTAAAAAACTCAACAGCAAAAGTTTCCTCGGGTGAGGATTAATTTTAAAAAGAAAGAGAACTAGAGTAGAAAACCTGCCACCTAGGAAGGATAAACTTACAGCGAGCTCGGTCTCTCCGAACTTAGTGTTAGGGCGCCGAGCCCCGGGGGGGGGGGGGGGGGAGCACAGAACAGCACAGCTGGCCCGAATGCGGCGGCCTCACGCAGAGGAAAAGCGCGCGATTGCGGGTTGGGACAGACATTTAACATCCGTCAGCAACGCTCACTGCGGCCAGCGCTGCTCCAGGCCGGCAGCTGTGACTCCCTGAAGACTCTGAGGAGGCTGCTGCCTAGAAGCAACTTACGCTTCCTATAAAACCTGTAGTCATACTTTCTAAATAAGGCGCAACTAAACCAAATTAGGAGGAATGACAAGTGCTTTCAGGAATGTGCATAGTCAATAGTGCATCGGCCTGCAGACTGAAGGGTCCCGGGTTCGATTCCAGTCCTGGGCACGTGCCTGGGTTGTGGGCTTGATCCCCAGGAGGGGACGTGCAGGAGGCAGCTGGCCAACAATTCTCTCATCATTGATGTCTCCCTCCCTCTCTGAAATCAACAAATAGGTATTTTCTTTTCTTTTTTTTTAATATATTTTATTGATTTTTTACAGAGAGGAAGGGAGAGAGATAGAGTTAGAAACATCGATGAGAGAGAAACATCGATCAGCCGCCTCCTGCACATCTCCCACTGGGGATGTGCCCGCAACTCAGGTACATGCCCTTGACCGGAATCAAACCCGGGACCCTTCAGTCCGCAGGCCAACGCTCTATCCACTGAGCCAAACCGGTTCTGGCAAAAAAGGTATTTTCTTAAATGTGCAAAAGCATGTTACTGCTGGGGAGGGTGTCACATTTGCATCCCTGTGTCCTGAGCACCCGTGAACTTGGGTGTAAGACGGGACTGTGAAACCAGCCTGAACTGGAGCCACGCAGCTAGCAGGGCGGGCGGCCCCTCTCGGGCCTGGCACGGGGTCCAGGCGCGGGGGTCCCCCGCTGAGGGCAGCTTCTTGGCTGTGAAGGCGGATCGTGCCCTCTGTCACTCACGGGGAGCGGTTCTGCCCAACTGTCTCTTTTCGACAACGTTATCATCCATCTCTTTATTAACAGCTCCGCTGCAGTCAGAAACGCAAACAAGGACCGAATCTCGGGCCAGATTTCTGGAGACCACAGCGCACCAGGCGCCACGCGGTGTGAAAGTTGGTAAGGAGGGTGTGATGCCAAGAGACGGCATCCACCAGCAACGAGCAGAGTCGGGACATTTCATGTTATTATTTTAAAATGCACGCCCCTGCTTTCTGTCTAAAGTCTGGAAGAACCCACCACCCACTTGTGCCTGCGCACGGGGGGGGGCACAGCAGAGGCGCAGACCGTCCTCCTCCCCTGAAACCACTTGGTTCCGTTGCATGTACGTAAGTCTCCTTAGAGCAAGTGTTGCATTATGCCAAAAACAAATTTAATGATCTTGGGACGAAACGACATTATGAGAACACGAACAAGACTGAGATAAATGTCTGGAATGAGCCATAAGAAATCCATGAAATCAAAATTTTACATTATTCAAAATGCCTCTTTTCAGATTGAAATGTTAGATCAAAAAATAGCATCTTACAAATTAAGGAAATGCTTCTAAAAGGTTCACAACATATTAAGAGACATCGATTTTTAAAAAATCAGGTTGTACACATGACTTGTAGGAAATTTAAAACACTGAAGTGAAAACTGAGCATAGTCCTGAACATGGAGATGCCTCGTGGACGAGCTGATGTGTGATCGCATTAACTGTTCACTACGTTACACTCAGCCAAGACGGACCTACCACTGGTCAGGATTTACGGCTAATGGTTCTCCCTTTAACCTGTGTTGTTTCAACCCACTGATGCAACTGTTTGAAATGCATTCAGAACCACAGGTACAACTTCACACAATGCTCTGGAGACCGGACTCTAGCGGAGGTCCCTGCTCCAGGAGCATTCTGCGCGGCCTCTCAGGGAGACGGTCTCAGGGCGGGGCGTCGGTGTTCTGGTGGGAAAGGGACTGCTGCCAAGACCAAGTGGCAAGTTCCAGCCCTGGGTGAGTCCCCTCCGGGCGTCCAGACAGACCTCGCTGTTAATTCTGCAACGTAAGACAAGACCAAGGCACCTCGGGCTTCCCCGGCCAGTGCAGGACGGTAAGAGGACGCGTGAGGCTTTAGCACAAATCCATTTTCACCATTAAAAAACCTAAACAAGCCCTAACTGGTTTGGCTCAGTGGATAGAGCGTCGGCCTGCAGACTCAAGGGTCCCGGGTTCGATTCCAGTCAAGGGCACATCCCTGGGTTGCAGGCACATCCCCAGTGGGGGGCATGCAGGAGACAGCCGATCAATGATTCTCTCTCATCATTGATGTTTCTGTCTCTCTCTCCCTCTCCCTTCCTCTCTGAAATCAATAAAAATATATTTTTTAAAAACCTAAACAAAAACTCTAAGCTGGTGGCAAGATGGGGCTATTGTTAAGGGTGTTATCTTGTATTTTAGAAAAATCACAGGTTAAACTCCATAAACTCTAAAACAATAATGTGCCCTATGCTCTAAATCAATACAATCATTAGCTATCAGAAAACATGAAGCATTTAGAAAGATAACTGAAGAAAAAAACCACATTACAATCCTGACCTTTCACACAAATGTGAGCTCTTCTGAACTGTGAACTTGAGAAGTGCCTTAATGCCACCCTTGCAGGGAGAGGCCTGTGACCTGGGCGTGGACAAGGAAAGGAAGAAATGGACTCAAAATTCCATCCCTTTCAACAAAACATGTCCATGGCTTGAAAAGCCCCAGTGATGGTCGCTGAACACTTGAGACAGAGGCACGTCTCTGAGGAATAAAAGCAGACGCTGAGATGGCTTCCCGAGTATACGGAACCACTTCCAGAATGAAGTGCAATCACTTCTGAGATCCGTGGCTCAGAAATATTGGTGCCGTCTTTCTTGGTGCCAATAAAGATACATAAAATGTCCTAAAGGTTTTTAAACTGAGAAGTACAGCGAAAGGACAAATGCCTTGATTCCACCAGAAAGTATAACACAGCACTAAGCAGACCACCTGTCTCTGCAGAGTGAAGGTCATGACTATAGAGCACACTTAGCACGTCATCCCCAAGTTCCAGTCTGAGCTACCCCAGCACCCACTTGTGACTTTGGTTTGAAGAAAATCTAAAGGTAGAGGAATAAAGTGGAGAACTAAAACAAAACATACAATTGAGGATAAAAGGCAACTCATTTTCCTGGTGCTATTCTGTCAGCAGGATTAAAACAGGCAAAAATGGCCCAGGGATTACCCGATGCCTTTTAGGAAGTGTGCCTCTTTTTAAGTGCACTCAAGTGCACTAACAGTTACTATTTCCAGGGCTCGGTCTACAAGTCTGTGCCTATTAGTGGTTTGTCCTCATTACTACTTGGAACTGCTGGTCATTTATTGCCACCTTGAGTGCAGCCAGAATTAATGCTACATTTTTCTGTGTGGAGAGAAAAAAGATGTGTTCAACTAGAAAGGTACAAACTTTAGAATATACCCAGAGCCACAAAACACACAGCTTTCGATGACCATTTCATTAATTCAGCAAGAGGAGAGAAATGCCAAAGGCCGTGTGGGTGGCAGGGCTCCGGAGTGTGGCGCTCCGTCCCGGGCAGGTGTCAAGGCGGAGGAAGTGCAGTCTGTGGGTGACCCACGGAGTCAAGTGATTGTTACAGGGCTTTCTCTGTTCATGACCAGTCTCGGAAGTTTAATGAAAAGCTATCCCACACTGCGGTCATGTTTCTATACACAGGAAAGGCACGAGAATAGAGTTTCAGGAGTGAAGAAATGTGCACAGCCGCATGGCCCTTGGAATAATGGCTTTTGCTAAGGAGGTCTCTCCCTCTACTCCAAACACTGCAGATAACCACACTCAAGGGCTGGCCATCACAGACACACACAGAGCAGTTCACTCCGAACCCAAGTTAAATATGCAACGCTGAGCATTTGGGGGTTTAAGAAAAGCAGCATCGGATTTGGGTTTATAAAATGAGAAACCCAGGATCTTGGCTGGCTGTGGTCTATGATCCCACATTCACTGAAAGACAACAGTGCCACCTGCTGACGTTAGAGACACATCGCCGACAGCTCGAAAACCAGTAGCTTTGAGAGGAGCACACCAGGGAGGGCACACGGTCTACACACATGGAGTAAACACACAGAAATGGGCAGTGTCTACATTCACGGAGTAAATGTCTGGGGGGGGGGCGGGGAGGAGACAGCTGGAAGGGGATGATAGTAACTACATTCATGGTTTCCTCCGACTGTGTGAGCTATCAATTCCTATTAGGCTGCTGCTATTGGCATGAATTAACCAGAAATAAATCTCTTCTGCATGTAACCACAATAAATTCTTTTGCAAATCTTCCCGTAGAGCCCTACTATATAAACTTTAAGTAGGACCAATTATTTCACTGGAAAGACAAAAGAATTCAAAGTCAGTCAAAAGAAACCAGCCGACTGTAGGATTGTGCTGTTGTTTTTTTATTGTGTTTTCAATGGAGAAATACATCATCTGTTTACAAAATAGCTCTTGAAAAATACAAGGAGTACAGATACTATAAAACAAAGCAAACTCCAGTCATGAGACACTACGTACATCATGCGAAAGCAACAGTCCGATCTCCAGGTTATGAAACTAGAATTAAAAAGTCACTACACAGAAAAGGTCCAAGTTCCCAGCGTGGCAAAACTTGGGTGCAGTTACAGGAAACGTTGAATAAACTGAATTTTTTCCCCCCAATGTGTAAACAAATGACAAGACTAAATCTGTGCCTGGCAATTTCAATCTAACTCTGAAGCTACACAAAACACCCAGCCACCTTGTCACTTGCCCTGGTAGTGTGACCCTTTTTCTCTGGTGGTGGAGACAGGGCCGGTGACTGTGCAGAGTGAAGACGTGGGAAGTAGAAATGTTGTATACTAGATGTTACAAAGTATGGTGAAAAGAAAGCCTCAATTAATGCATGGCCTAAGGGGAAGACTACACTTCAACTTTGGAAAATTAATTTAGAAGGACAGGGGAGAGTTTAAGTAATTGCAGTTTAACATGAAGATGCACATGACAGGATGGAGCACAACGGAGGATTCGTAAAACATGCTCATCGGGAAGATCTGTTAGGTTTGCTTTGTCCAGATTAAGAGGAAGTTTATCAACATCTAGCATCCCTCACAGTCATGAAGATGGCTGTTCTGGTGCTTAATTATGAGGAATTGCCTTCTTTAAAGAGTTCCTAATCTACTGACAGGATAAAATAAAATGAAAAAGGTGTAGAGAGAGCTGACTAGATGTCAAGTGAGTGCTAGAAATGATTTTTAAATGTTTCTAGATGTAAAATTTACTGACAAATTTGGTCAACCATTTAAAAATAAAAATTAGTTTAAAATTCTTGGAGAAAACGCCTTTTCGCCCACATGTTTAAAACTGAAAACCAGCTTGGCTACAGACCAGAGTTCTGTGGAGTGTACAACATCCCTCCTTTGTAGGATCGAGTGCTGTCCAAGACGGACCCCATGTTCACAGGCATTCCGTTAGTCCTCCTGGAGTTCCGGCCACGGGACCATAATCCAGTGTCCTGGGCCCGTGGCACAGGGTCACTGGCTCCACACCACTGCTTAAGAAAATACTGGCATTTTGTTTTGTGTGGACTAAATCCTACATTATGCATACAAGCAGAAAGGGAAAAAGGAAAACAAGGGGGAGGGAGCAAAATGCTTTTGTCTGTTTCAAAGACCACAGACTAAAGGCAAAACAATACCGAGCTTTAATAAGCTCAAAGAAAAAGATCTGCTGGCTGATCGCTGATTTATCTGCACTCTAAACAATTCTATAAATAAAACAAATATATCATTTCTTAATCACGACCCCCATCAATCCAAGTATTTCCTAATTATTCTTTCAATGTCAAACACATATCTTAGAATTGACATTTCCTTCGGAAGGGTTACAGCTGCCTCACAGGGACTGACTTAGACATACTCTTAGCCTTGCTCTCAAGTACAACAGTACACCGCTGCAGAATGGTATCCGATTTGAAGATTGATGGGAAAAGAAATTCTTCAAGAAAAAATGAAATCCATCAGGCTGAAATCTAAAATTAGTACTACTTTCTAAAGCGAAAATACATAAAAGTGCATCATCAGAATAAGGAGTTCTTATGCTAGTTTGTATCGCAAATTTTCCAAACAATGCATCAAACATAAACCCAATCCAGATGGTCAATTAAGGATACAAATATAGCTTGAGGTTTGGGTTTTTTTTGTGTGTGTGTTTGTTTTGTGTTTTTTGTTTTTTTTTAAAGGCAGTAATTTTTTAAAATAGTTAATGCAACTGTTGCTAACACAATAATAATAGTACTCCTGGCTTCACATACTAACCTGGACTTCCGATCAAGTGCTGCTTAGCCCAGTAAGGGAGGTCACACAAACCTACATCCATGTTCAGCCATGTCTAGTCTTGTACCCTCCAGTCTCCTTTCTTAGCATTTGAAGACAACAGGTTGAGTTGGCAGATATTGTTTATGGACCCCTGAGGTTGTTTTTACCGATTCAATCTCAGTTTTATTGAATTCTTGATAACAGGAATAGGATTTGCAGGGAGAGCAGGGATATCAGAAAGGTCTGTACTGGATGTTTTCTGAGGACAAAAGCAAAGAACACAACATTGTACAAAGCGCTGTAACTTAACAGAGATTTACTTTCCCACTGCTTTATTCCTAAGAAATGGAGGGATCTTAGCATAAGTATTAAAAATTTAAAGAAAACTTTCAAAATGAAATACAAATAAATATGAATTACTATGAAATTACTTCTTTTACACTTGTAGGAACATTTTAGCAATATGCAGAAAATGTAAGTAATTTCAAACATAGCTTTTAAAAACACACTCCTCTAACAACTGCCCAGCATGTCATTACCAGGGCAGTAACACTATGGGCTGTGGTGCTGACTGGTACTGCAGCGCCCCCATGTGGGAGAATACTTCAGGTTCACCTTATACACAGGAGCAGCAATTATCAGTAAACTTAGGATTTTTTGACCCTGTAAATTATCCATACAACTGAGCAATAATTTTATTATTTTAAACGTTAGGGAAGTTTCATATTAAAAATAAATTAAATCACAAGCCTTCTTTAACATTCAAAAACATAGAGATGAATTTTTAAATGTTTTATTATGGAAAATTCCAAAAATACACAAAAGTAGAGAGCACTGTATGATGAATTCCCATGCGTTCATTATGCAGCTTCATCAACTGTCAAATGAAAGCCAGTGAGTGCACTGTCCTCCCACCTTCGCTCCCCGGTTATGCTGAACCAAAGCCCAGAGATCCTATCATTCCATCTGTAAATATTTCAAGTTTATCCTCAAACCATAAGGATTCTTTGTTAAACACGGGCACAATCTTGTAATCACCCCCACCCCAAACATTCCCCTTATACCACCAAACACAGAGATGGATTTTTTACATCAACATAATCACTCCTATAACTGGGTGGTTTTCCTCTCAACAGCTCCAGAGATCTTTTCACTAGAAAGAAAATTCTACTTCCTCATAAAAATAGCTAATAAGCAAACACCCCTGGGCACTGATCACCACTGGGATGAAATCAATAAGACAAAACTATGAACAGTTCCCCAAGAAGAACGTGGGCACTGAGAGGCTGCCGGCCCATCGCAGGACAGTTTCAGGTGGATGAACAGGTTTGTCCATGTATCAACATCAAGCTCAACACTTGCTAACGTGGTTTTAGTTACCCCAATACCTCTTATCAGATAAAGGTTCTGAAATAAAAGACATTCCAGAAGAGTAAACATAATATGCAGACTATCTTTAGGGGCTGTGACGTAGGTCGTAGGTCATAGGGTTAACAGCCAGCAAAACCACATTTTAGAACTGTCACATTAAAATAACCCTGAACCACAAAGCAGCAAACATCGCTGGATTGTTCAGCAACTGTAGCCATCATCTCTCAGTTCTTTTGTAGGGTGACCTATTTAACCTCTAGCTAAAGAAAAGATGTACTTTGTGTCAGAGTTTGACCTGGACTTAGAAATATATTCAACTTGGGGGAATTCAAGAAAACATTTCGCCAACAAAATGGAAGTTCACAGATCAATGGTTGGGGGAGGACTGTCACAAGTAGAATTTCTATGTCAAGTGCAAACATTATTTTAAAGAACTATGGGGTCCATTACATTAATAACAAAATCAGAAATACACAGGGAGGCAGAAACACATTTTAAAAATAAAAAGATCATATTAACCTCGTAAAAATGAAATCCACAAAGAATGGTTTTTAGCTGTCATAATTTAAATTTCACTTTGACCTCTAAATAAAGCCGCTGTATGAACACTGCATGCTGACTAGTGAGGAGCTAAATCATTTGCACTATCACATGTGTAAGGGGATGAGTTAGCATCTGAACAGCACACAAAAAAGGTTCCACCACATCCTAGGCTCTGAACTACAATAAATACAGGGATAGGCTAGCAAGGAATTACTTTCACAAAGATACTTTATCCGTCTCCGTAAACGCTCATTTTAGCTCATTATGCCACTCTAATCTCCACAGCGTTTATAAAGCTCTCCTTGCTTTCTGCACTTAGTACCTGAGAGGCCAACAGAGAAGCCGCTGTCTGAACAGTCTCTGATTGAGTTGTACTTGTCTCTGTATCAAGTTGTTCCTGTGAGACAAAGAAGACAGGGACGAAAGAGTCTTAGAAAAGAATAAAAGAACAAAACGGGGTTTGGTGGCTAATAGAGCAGACATATTAGAAAACAGGAAGGATTAAGAGAAAGATGCGACTGCATTACAAAACCATCTTTTAAGCCTATTGCAGGCTATTACCCCATTGCACGTACACATAGATTTCTATTTGCCTACTTTGATCTTTTAAGGCGTGGTCAGAATATCTCGTGACTTCCCAACCAGCTCCAATTTGGACATTTTAAGCAAACAATAATTAAAGACATGCACAGGCACATTATGAAATGTGGCTCAGACAATGATTAACAAAATATAAACTCAAGCTCTTAACTATGTGAAGAACAAAGTCCATTCAATATTATTAAATAAAATTACTAAGAAGCACAAAAATTGCTCCCATGCCTTTAATTAAAAGTAGAAACTGTCTCTAAGACATTCCTCCTTCCTTTTGGTTTCTCTTTCCCATTCTCAATAATCAATGCTCAGTTTTGCTCTAAGGTTAGTCAGAAACCATGGGGTGAATGAGCCATGTCATCCCTCTGCTCCAACTCTTAAAAAGCAGTGCACACAAACAATAACACACACACACACATATATACACAAATGAAAAAAAATAAACATTTGAATTTCTATAAAAAATACTTATACAATAATAAAACAATGAAATACCAATTTTCTCCTCTGAAATTACAAAGGGTAAAATAGGATGTAAGAAATAGAAAAAGTGCAGTGTTTCTATAGCACAGTTTGGCAATACGTATCAAGTTTTAAAAGGAAGCATACTAGTTGCCTCAGTAATTCCTCTTTAATTAATTTATCCAAATGAAATAAACATAAATAATGGCAGCCATTTAACTATAGTCAATGCTACAGTAGGGAAGGGCAACTTTCTTTTAACAGGAACAATTGCTAACAATGGGAAACCGCCTGTATAAAAAATGATAACTGCTTTAAGATAGCATTCTATGCAGCCATTAATAATATTTTCTAGATTATAAAAATGACATGAAATTTTTTCTTGGTTTACAGAGTGAATAAAGACTTAAAAGCAAAAGGCTTTGGCAGTATACACAGACAAATCTATAAAGACATCAAAATAATACTTGCTAAAATATCAATCATGGGAATCTGGATAATTTGGGGGAAAGAAGATTTCCAATTTTTCTACAATAAGAAGGACAGAGTTAAGCCTTTAGTATATTTCAATTTCTGGGGGGAAAAAAATGATGTTCCCGGTCTCATACAATTTGGCTAAACCAATCTCTCCCAGCCTGTCTACCTTGTTTCAAGCCCCCCACACCTTAGGTTCTAGCCAGAACCTTCTGCAAAGAAAACTATTTTTCTAAACATACATACCACACTCTCACCTCAACAGCGAGATGACCTTCTCATGTTGGCCTGCCCATAACCCTCTGTATCCTTCAGAGACTGCCTCAAATACTACAGCTCCCTTTTGTGAAGCCTTACATTACTTCTGCAGTCAAAAAGTAACTTCTCTTGCCTCTCACCACCCCACCATCCTCAATCACTTTGATAATGTAATTAATTGCTTCTCTTTTATTTTCTTGACTTAATTGTAAATTCTTTAAAGGTACGGAACATAATTCACTCACCATTCTATATCGTTAGGTGCCCAACAGATTACAGTGCAACTAGAAGGACCTCAAACATTAGGAATTTAATTTTAGCATTGTAAATTTAACATTAAAAAGGGGCACTTCTGGAAACAACCTATGGAACAAATTACAACACAATATTCTACACACATTCCTATCACATCTTCCGTCCTCTGAATTGTGTATGTACACCAAGGCTAAATTTAGTATACCTTCGTTTCTGTTTTATCATGTCCACTCAAAGCAGGACAGTTAGCATCTTCACTTGTTTCATCCTGTTTTTAAAAAGAAAAGCTTTATTCTCTAAAATGAAAATTTTAGATTATTTGCCAATCAATGCTTTAACTTACATAATTTTTTAAGTTATGAAATAATTTAACCTGTAAGATCAAGTATGGCCTTAAAATAATTACTGATTCACTTAAATTTTTTCCATATTAACAAGTTTAATTAGTATACTAAATTGTAGTATCTGCCAAAATTAAAAAGAACATGATGAAAACTGTTATTCATCACCACCACCTAAAGTACACACACACACACACACACGGTTCTAAAAAGAATATCCCTTTAATTTTCCCAAAGTTAATTAACCACAAAATCCCTTAGTGTGACCTATTAAAATCCTGAATAAAAGGTTTAAGAAATGCTCTCTCCTCAGGTCTTAATTTTTAAGTGTATTATAATTCTATTCAAAACAATGCATTTTTGATAAAGAGGGAACAGGGGAAGCCCAAAATGGCTATACTTTCCCATTCCTGTACTAACTTGTTAATAAGCATCACTTTCTTAAGAAAAATAATTGACACTAATTTCACTGCTTTACTTACTAGACAGAACTAAAATTTAATTTTAATTGGCTCTAAAACAAGACATGGAAACTACAGGATAAACTTATAGAGTAGGAGAGATTTAATTGCAATATCAACCAATTCCAATAAAAACCTTATTTGTATCCCTCAAACATACATACTTAACAAATAGTACTTTAAAACCCTACTGAACCAATTTCAATTCTGACTGGATATGTGACAATATGGTAATATTGGTAAATGTACTTATACACACACACACAAATATATATATGGTGTAATATACTATAGCTGTGTTTTTTATTAGTCCTTATTTTTAGAAATATTTATGGTTGAAATGATATGCCTGGGATCTGCTTCGTAACATGGGAAGTGAGCAGATGTGCAGGTGAAAGAAGGCTGGCAATGATTTGTTAGCTGTAGTGATGCAGACATGACTGTACATTATTATCACTCTGTACATGTTTGAAATTTTCCGTAAGTTTTTAAAATATTTATAGCATCATATTAAAAAACATATATGGTATCATAAGTTTTAAAATATATATATGGGGCAGATTTTTCTATTTTTATTTTACATTACTGCCATTTATATATATTTGAAAAGCTTTAGCATATGATGCAAATTTAGCAGAGCTAAACTACCTAGCAATACCTAAAACCCTCCTGTCTACATACACCTTAGTGTATTAATTAAGCAGAACCAGTGTTTCTTTCTGATTTGCTAAAATTTCTAATGCCAAGTACTCATTAACAAAGAATAAAAAAAAAAAACCAGTTTAGGAGACCTTCAAAATTAGGATATTTAGAATATTTTTTAACAATCTTCTTCAAATTTAGCACCATGATTTTAGGCCTGGGTTTTAATCCTGTCTCTGAGTTTTATTAGCTTTATAAAGGAAAAAGCCAATGAACCTTGAGTTTCTCTTCTAAGAAATGAGATTTATAACAGATCCTAAGATCCCTTCTACAGTTTAAAATTCCATTTTTATTAGTCAAAATAAAAATGAGCTGCCAAGAAGCAAACCCCAGATTGAGAAACTATACAGAAAAAAAATATTTGCAAGAAAAAAATGGGAGAAACCTATATTTTACAGGATACTTGAGACATCAATCAATTGCTAAACAGGGATCTTATTTATAGACTAGAGGCCCAGTGCACAACATTTGTGCACTCGGGCTGGGGGTCGGGGAACCCTAGCCCAGCCTGCGCCCTCTCACAGTCTGGGAGCCCTCGGGGGATGTCCGACTCCCAGCTTAGGCCCACTCCCCACAGTCAGACATCCTTAGCGCTGCCGCAGAGGCAGGAGAGGCTTCCACTACCGCCACTGTGCTCACCAGTCATCAGCCAGGCTTCTGGCTGAGTGGCACTCCCCCTGTGAGAGCGCACTGACCCCAGGGGGCAGCTCCTGCATTAAGCGTCTTCCCCCTCGTGGTCAGTGCGCGCCATAGCAACCGGTCATTCCACCATTCGGTCGATTTGCATATTAGCCTTTTATTATATAGGATTTGGACAAATAAAGACTAAAAAAACACACAAATCAATGACACAATTAGGGATCTTTGGGCACTGACTAGATATATAATATTAATGAATTGTTGATTATATTAATGAATTATTGATTTTTTTTTCTAAGTGGGTTACACTTATTTTGTTACTATTGGCCTGGTGCACAAATTCATGCACATTGAAAGGAAATTAATTAGAAGAAATATTTTAATATCGCTATTAGCCCTTTCTCTATAATAGAAGTGTCAGCCAAATTCACAATCGACAATGACAGATCAAAATAACATGCGCAATTGGCACCAGCAAGAGCTTTAAATGTATTGTGCATGCGTGAGTCAACTTAGCCTTTTATATATACAGAGACTTTCCTTTTTGTAACCATTATCTTTTAGATAGAAGAGTTTTAAAAAAAAACTAATGGAATGATATGTTTGGAGGAAGTGGAAAAGGCTGAAAGAACTAAGAGTGCAGGGATTGGCCAAGTGCTCATACCTGAAGCTGCATGGTGGGTACATGGATACATGAAATGATTCTCCTGTGTGCACGTTTAAAATTTTAAAAACTCTACATTCCTACTACTTCCCTAAACTAGACATGAAACGTAAGTGTTTTCTAGCAAGGTAAGAGCAAATGAAATTACAAATATTGTGCTGGTACACATTTGGTTAGAGCTCACAGAGAATCATTAAAAAATTAACCAATTAACGCCCTAACTGGTTTGGCTCAGTGGATAGAGCGTCGGCCTGCATACTCAAGGGTCCCAGGTTCGATTCCAGTCAAGGGCATGTACCTTGGTTGCGGGCACATCCCCAGTAGGGAATGTGCAGGAGGCAGCTGATCGATGTCTCTCTCTCTCATGGATGTTTCTAACTCTCTATCCCTCTCCCTTTCTCTCTGTAAAAAGATCAATAAAATATATTTTAAAAAAAAATTAACCAATTAACATTAGGAAAATGGAATGATAAGTGTCTAGAACTATGCTTGCATATACTAGGGCCGTGGTCGGCAAACTGCGGCTCGCAAGCCACATGCGGCTCTTTGGCCCCTTGAGTGTGGCTCTTCCTAAGCCTTAGGAGTACCCTAATTAAGTTAATAACAATGTACCTACCTATATAGCTTAAATTTTAAAAATTTGGCTCTCAAAAGAAATTTCAATCATTGTACTGTTGATATTTGGCTCTGTTGACTAATGAGTTTGCCGACCACTGGACTAGGGTAAAAGAAATGTAAATGTGGAATCACACCCACACCGGGACATTCTTAGGCCGAGGCACAACACAATCCAGTAGCATGGGGCTTTTCAGAGGTTCCCAGGGACTCAGGTTAGCTGCTTCCTCACCCACTCCCTGCCTCCAAAATGTTTTTCTAGAGCGTTTGGAAGAGGTGGGAAGCAGATGACTGAGGAAGGGATGGACTAAACCAGCAATCGCCAACCGGTGGCCCGCGGACCACTGGTGGTCCATGAGTTCTGAAAGATTGGCGCCCGCTGGTTTAAGGAACCTTTGGAGCAGCGGTTGCCAACCGGTGGTCCGTGAGGTCCGAAAGGTTGGTGACCACTAGACTAAACTAATCCCCTTCTGGTGGTAGTTCTTTCTTTTTTTAAAAAAATTAAGTTTTACACAGGAACATGAATGAATATCTCAAAAAAAAAAGGGGGGGGGGGGAAGAAGAAATCCCCAGGCCTAAACTCCTGGAGAGTTTCTGACTCTGTATTTGGAGATGGCCCTAAATTCTGGTAAGAAAAAAACAAAAACCTGAAAAAGTAATTCTGACGTACGGTCAGGGTTGAAAACCACTGCCTTTGGAGATAATTACAGACGGATTTTCAGAATACATGTTTTAAAATATACTGTAACCATTTTTCATTCACAGAATCATAAGAGTGACAAAATTCATCAAATTATTCATAGTTCATTAATAGTGACTATTTCCTAGAAGAACAACAAAAAAACTTCAGAATAACCTAGGGGATAAAACATTTGAACTGTCACCTCTGTGGCAATGGTGAAAGCCTCACTAACAGGAAACAACACGAGAGTCACTCCAGGGATCAATGAAACTGTGTAATAAGGCTATTTCTAGACTAAGATACACACTTAAAATCAATGTATACTTTTAATGGTTTTCTTAAAACTGAGACTTTGACAAGATAAACCACTCACTATAAAAAGTTCATATTTCTAGAAAATTTCCTAAAGAGTTAAGAGAAAATAATAATTCAAGCCCCCCAAACTAATCTGACTTTACAACTTTTGGCCAGGCATTCCATTAGGAAATCCCCTTAGAACCACTCGCATTCTTACCAAGTATAGTGTAAAAACTCCAAAATTCCATTTGGATCAAGAAACAAAAACCATGTCCAAAAAAGCTATGAAAAAATCAGTACCCATGCCCAGCCAGAGTGGCTCAGTAGTCAACCTATGAACCAGAAGGTCATGGTTCGATGCCCAGGTTGTGGGCTCAATCCCCAGTGGGGGGGCATGCAGGAGGCAACCTATCAATAATTCTCATCATTGATATTTCTATCTCGCTCTCTCCCTTCCTCACTGAAATCAATAAAGACATATATATATATATTTTTAAAAGGACCTAAGGTCTAGAACTGGACTGTGTGCTGCTATATAAAAATTTTTTTAATTGGTACCTATAAAAGCCAGCTGTATGAGAGCAATAAATGAAGGTGCCATTAAGTGCACGCTAAGTCGTTATGAACTAGACATGCTACAGAAGCTGGAGTGAGAGGCAAAGCTGTAGGAAGAGGCCACTGAGAGAGCAGGGAGGGGGAGAGAAACTACGGCACGCAACACTCCCCAAACATTTCCTACAAGCTTTCCTCCCTCCTGCTTCTCATTTTAGGCCCACAAAGGTTTTCTTTCCCTGGATTTTAAAATAGTTAAGCTGGTGTTCTCATGGGTAACTAATATATAGGTACCTCTTCTGTTTTGGTTTTCTTGGGACTTTCTTCTCTGTGAGGTGAGGATTTCCTCTTGACCCCTCCTGTGGGACTAGGTATTTTTGTTGCTGCATTTCCTGAAGGTCGTGGTGGTGGGTTGACCAGGCGTGTTGCAGAAACCACTCTGGAGACCGCAGGCTTTGGTGGTGATGAAATGGCTGGCTGTGTGGCAGTTTGAGGAATGCTCTCGCTCGATGTACCTAAGTAATAAGTAAACATTAATACATAAAAATTAAGTCATCAACATTAAGGTACAAATACAGCTTTATTTCTCTAGATTTGATATCATTGATAACTTTACATGCAAATATTAAAATGGCATTAAAAAACTGAATTCAAACTACTTAATTAACAAATAAAGCCATCTTTCCAAACAAAGGCTGAGTCCGGTGTGGGCCAGTGGTTGGAGGGCCAGGCCAGCCGTGTACCAAAGGGTAGCACCTGGGCTGCAGGTATGATCCCAGGTGGGAGGCAACCGACCAATGTGCCTCTCACATCGATGTTTCCCTCTCCCCCCCTCTTTCCACTCTCTTTAAAATTCAAAGGGAAAAATGTCCTAGGGTGAGGATTAACAACAAAAACAAAGAGCAAAGGCTGAAACTTCATATAACGTAAAGTCCTCTCAAACCTGTCAAACCAATTCCCTTGCCCCCTGAGCTTTCACTGGAATCCACTTGTGGCGCAGGAACTTCGGCGGCCTGGACGTTGGTCACAGATGCTGCTGTCACAGCTGGAGCAGGACTGTTTCTGCTGTTTAAAAACATTGACAAGTAAACCAAGAAGCATAAAATTTTGTGAAATTATTTTCTAAAGGATTGTTTAGATTTACTTCTCAGACATATACATTAGTAACTGATTTCATATAATAAGACATAACCAACAATCAAAAACACACAAACCTTCTAAAGCAGTGCTGTCCCACAGAACTTTCTATAACAATGTCCTTAATCTACACTATCCCATATGGTAGTCACTATATAGATGAAATAAGGGCAGTGAGAAATGGAACATTTAATTTTATTTAATATTAATTACATGTAAAGTGCCACACAACTAGTGACTACCATATTAGAACGGTTCTGAAAAAATGTTATCTGCCCTGGCTGGTGTGGCTCATTTGGTTGAGCGTCCTAACCTGCAACAAGAGGTCGCTGGTTCAATTCCTGCTCAGGGCACATGCCCAGATTGCTGCTCGATACCCAGTAGGGGGCATGCAGGAGACAGCCAATCAATAATTATCTCTCATCATTGATGTTTCTCTCCCTCTCCCTTCCTCTCTGAAATCAATAAATATATACATATTTTTAAAAGTCTGCAGGATACACTTATAGAAGTTAAATATAAATATGATCTTTTGTTTTCTAATTTTTGTTACCACAGCCATATATTTCTTTCATAATAAAAAACATTTAGCTGCTTAAAATGTTTTTAAAGAGTCACTTAATCCTCAAAAAAGTTTTCCTTAACATAAACCAGCCCACGTAGATCTTCCCCTTCTTTGGAAGGTCCCTAATATTTCATAGATATGTTCCCCCACAACAAAGGCAAAGCAGCTCGAGGACAGCAAAGTAATGTTGTCCCTCTTGTCTGTTCTCTTTAGCACACCACACTGCTCAGTGGGGGCAGCAGGAGTCTCAGTACATGAAACTGAAGAGGTTATAGCACAAATAGTCATATTTGTATCAAGACATATGGAACATAAGTATGACACGGTAGGACAAATTACATTCTGCAAAACTAAGAGTTAAATGGCTATTTAAAAAATATTTTAAGATGGAATAAAATTCATATTCTAAATAGATGACTTTAACAACAATCAAATATGTTTACAAATAGCCACTACACTCCCATTCCCTTGTTTTCTTACCCCTGAGAGCTGCCAGAACTGTTCAATGGACTGGTCTTCATAGCACTAGTAGGTGAAGGCACAGACATGCTGTTATCACTGTCCATAGACAAGTCGAGGCTGTTCTCATTCAGAGGTGTCAATCTGACACCTTCTGTTGAATGCTGCAATCAATAAAACATTCAATCAAATACATCTGAATTTTATCCAGATCTATGAAACATGAATGTCTTTTACTTGACATATGATTTCTACTAAAAAGTACAAATCAAAATTTATGAAAATCAGAAGTGTCATGCTGACTATAAAAGGCATAGATTTGAGAGACACATACTCCTAACTTCTAAGAAGCCTTCAACTATAGCTCTTCCGTGGGAGAAATAAGGAGAAAGGAATGGTACATTAAACATACACACTGAATACAAAACACATTGCAAATTAAAAAGTACATGAAACGACATGGATCTTAAATCTGAGAGCTTAAATATACATACATAAATGTATTAGAAAAGTCTACTAATAATAACACGATGTTAACAATGACTATCTCTAGCTATCGGGATTAGAAGTAATTGTTAACAGATTTTTTAATTATTCTACAATAAACTTTATTGTATAATTTCAAAAAATGTCAGTAAGTGCCATTCCTACATACTTGTAAATAAATGAGCCTCTCCAAAGCAAAGGATTCCTTAATGCTCTAAGGCAACGTAAGATATCAACATGGTAATTCAATAGTGTAAATTATCCTATGGAAAAGACTAATTTTCTGAAAACTAAACCTTATATCCACATGTAAATCCTAATGTTGGCCCTGCTTCTTAAAAAGCAAAGCACTCAAAGACAGTAACTTAATATAGGAACAACAAAAGAAAACTAAACAACTGTAAGTGGTTCTATGAATGAAAGTTGATTTCTAAAGTGACTTAAGATTTCCATTTCGGCAATTAATGCTACTATCATGTCAAATTTACTTCAGCTTTTTTCTTTCCAGAATACTCTCAGCCTCAGTGTTCACTTATCTACAAAAACATTTTAATAGAAATAATTTGCATTGTTGACAAAAACTCACATCCCACACGTGTGTGCGTGTATGCTCTAATTTTTAATTTAGAACTAGAGAAACCACTATGTACATAAACAAACATTTTATTCCTCTTTTCCCAACCCCAGCCCGTTAGCCATCCATTATGGTTATTGTTCGCTAACATATACTTTTATTTCATATTCTCTTTTAAATCATATATGGTTTTGACCTAGCTGGTTTGGCTCAGTGGAATGAGCGTCGGCCTGTGGACTCCAGGGTCCCAGGTTCGATTCCAGTCAAGGGCACATGCTCAGGTTGCAGGCTCGATCCCCAGTAGGGGGCATGCAGGAGGCAGCCAATCAATGATTATCTCTCATCATTGATGTTTCTCTCCCTCCCTCTCTGAAATCAGTAAAAATATTATTTTTTTAAAAATCATATATGGTTTTACATTTTTTAAACTTGTAAACTTCACATGAATGTACCAAATGGTACATACTCATCTGTACCTTTTTAACTCAACATAGTATGTAGCTGTAGTTCATTTATTTTCACGGGTATGTTTAAGTATTCCATTATAGGAATAAGTCATTTATTTTTGAAACCAAATAAGCAAATATCTCTGAACTAAAATCCCAATAAGTCCTCTATAGTAAGTCCAAATAATAAAAAAGCAAAGTTACTCAACAGGAAGCACTAATAACAGCATAATATAAAACATTAACTCTGGTTACCTCTGTTAGTGATCTTTATCTTCAATAACTTTAAAAATTTAAATAAAATAAATACATGTATAACTCTTACCAAAATAGAGCCATTTTCATTGAAAAACTCATCTAGTTTACTTGAGCTACAGAATACCTAACTGAATTAGTTTACTTTTTAAAGAAAAGGAAATTAGATACTTATGTGGAATATTAAATGGCCAAGAAAAGGTTTTGAAGAGAATCTAAGTATTTATAAAATAAGGATACAAAGCATCGCCACTAATCTATCTAAAGTCTGAAGCAAGTGTGTGCAAGAAACCTGGTTAGGAAAAAGATTTCATATAATGCAACTGCTCCACTTAACAAATTTTTTAAACGCTGTGACTATTTCAAATATAACTTATTCACTGAGCCTACAGATTTGAAGTTCTGATAACCTGGACACATAAATTATTATATTAGTAATACTTTTGTTAGTACTTTTTAAATTTACCTTTTTCTTTTTTTGAAGCACATGATTAGGTAGTAGTTCATGGAGTTGCTTTCTTTTTACATGCATTGCAGCAATTTTCATGTCCACCTCAAACATCTTGCTGTTTATTGCTTGCCTATAAACTACACAATTAGAAAATTGTTACAAGAAATAAAAAAAACATTTTAATAACGCAGTTCAACTCATCCAGGAGAGCCTATTCTAAGCAGGGATCATCCTTTATACATCAATACTTCATACGTATAAAATCATCAGGTGAAAACCTATCTCTACTCTGACAATTCACTGCCTGAGCAAACTAAGTCCTTTCTACCAGAAGGTTTAAAAAATGAAAAAAAAATAAATAAATAAACAAAAGACAAAGTATATGAATTCTTCCAGTGTAAAAACTCTTAAAGTGGTAACTTTAAAGAGTCACTCTTTAAGAAACAGCGGAATTGGAGAAAAAGAGGTTCTTAAGCCCATACCCTTTAATGTTACCAGTAAAATTTTAAATTCTAATCTAAGTATCTAACAAATTCAGCAAAACAAGTCAAACTTATTTAAATATACCTAAAGATACCTTTTCAAGAATCTGTAAGATCAAATTTTAAGACAAGTAGTAACATTTTCTATTACAGAAATAACTCAAATAACAGAGGTCACAGGAACAAAAATAATATGCTAAAAATAAATAAATCCAAATAATTTAGTTTCAGAGGGTTCCAAAAATGGAAAAATTCGTTCACTGAGTCCAACAACAAATAATTATGGAATGGATATACGTATCACACTGCTCTAGACACAGGGCATAGCAAGGAATAAGAGGCTAAAATAATTTCAGAGTCTACATTCCAGTAGGAAAAATGTAATCAACAGGAAAAAAAATTAAGTAAAACATAGTTATCCTTTGAACGCAGAGGTTAGGTGCAGTGACCTCCCAGGAAGTCAAAAATACAAAGAGAACTCTAGCTGGCCCTCCACACGTGGATTCCCAACCACGGAGTGGACTCTTGAACATGGGTTTGAACTGTGTGGTGGCAAGTGATCTTTATCGTGTAAGTGGACCGGCTCAATGCAAACCTGTGTTGCTCAAAAGTCAACTATTTCATATCAGATGGTGATAGGTGCTATGGAAAAAGTTGAGTAGGAAGAAAAGAAGCTCAGCCTGGAAACTAAGATTACATGGAGTGAAGACTTAAATGAGAGTGAGGAAGTGATCTGACAGTACCTGGTGGAATAGCATTCCAGGAAGAGCAAACATCAAGGACAAAATGTCCTGAGTGGAGAGCATACCTGGAATGTTCGAGGAACAACAAAAAGGCCACAGGGAAGGAGGAAAAGTAGAGATCAGTAATCCTTTATCTAATTCTAAAATCCCAAAATCTCCCACCCAACACAGAAGTTTTTCATAAGATTGGCGCCAAAACTCGTCTGGCAACGAACCCTGACTTGATCTATTTGTGGTTGTTTGATCTCCACCAGTGCTTACTGTGACTATCAAACAGTTCCCTGTAGAAATTCTTTGGCTAGAAATGTTGCTCCAGGCCCTGGAATGATACTAACTTTATTATTTTCTGGCCCCAAGACAGATGGATAAAGAATTCTGAACTTATAATAAAAAATGAGGTCAGACATAAGGAGAGGTCGGATCAGGTAAAGGCTTGTAAACCACAGTAAAGACTTGGACTTTTATTCCAAGTGGCATGGATAGCCATTACAGGTTTTGAACAAGTGAGGCATGATTTGGATGTTGACTGAAAGAGCTGAAGGTGGGCAAGGGCAGCACAAGGATCTGATAGCAACAGCAGTAATCCAACCACACAGTGGTAAGTGTGACCTAGACTAGGCTGACAGCAGCAGAAATACCAATTAGCAGAAATCGCAATGTATTCTGAAAGCAGAGGCAAAAAAAATTTTTTTAATGGATTTATATCAAACACAGCAGTTCCTCAAATAACGTCATTTCATTATACGATTGGTAAGGGGGGGCAGGGGGACTGATTCCTGGCCAGGATCACTGCCTGTGTGGAGTGTGCACCTTCTCCTCATGTCTCCCCCGGGAACTCCGGCTTCCCCACATATCCCAGAGCTGTACAGTTAGGTGAACTGGTGTGTCTAATTGTCCCAGTCTCAGTGAGTATGAGTGTGCCCTGCACTAGAAGGGTGTCCTGTCCAGGTGGGGCCCACTTTGTACCCTGAGCTACCAGGAGAGGCTCCAGCCACCAGTCACCTTGAATTGGAATAAGTGGAAATAATTATCTTACTTGCTCTTATTAATCTTCCTTAAATGTTATGTATAGCTCACATTTATTTCAATGTTCAACACTATAAGTGTTTGGGATCTTTATTTAGAAATTTGGTGATGATTTTGAAACCAGAACTATGCAGTAGGAACTTAACTCATGTTTATATCAATTAACCTATGGTGAAACTGGTTTTGTTATACATATCATTTCACTGAAAGTCACAATTTCCAAGAATCTATCCATGACATTAAGTAAGGACTTACTATCTGAGAAAAACAAGAGAGGAGGACTCCAAGATTTTCAGCTTGAACAACTACAAGAAAACAGTTGTTAAAACTTGAGATAAAAAACATTTGGAGAAGTTGGAAGAGAGTGGAGGTAAAATTTTGGGCTTTGAACAAGTTAAATTTGTTTTATTAAAAAGAAATCTCACCCTAACCGGTTTGGCTCAGTGGATAGAGCGTCGGCCTGTGGACTGAAGGGTCCCAGGTTCGATTCTGGTCAAGGGCATGTGCTTTGGTTGCAGGCACAAACCCAGTAGGGGTTGTGCAGGAGGCAGCTGACAGATGTTTCTCTCTCATCGACGTTTCTAACTCTCTATCCCTCTCCCTTCCTCTCTGTAAAAAAAAAAAAAAAATCAATAAAATATTTATTTTTTTAAAAACCTCAGAAAGTATTCTATTAAAATTTTCAAGATATAGGACAACTAAATATTTGCTACCCAAAAATACCTGAAAGTGCCTTGAAAATTTTGAAAAGAATATGTATTTCAGTATGCAAATGCCTAGGTACAGTGACTAAAAGATACACTGTACTCAGCTGATGACACCTATGTGTAGAATCACTAGCAGTGTGACATCTGTGAATTCCTACTGACCCAGGTGTGACCTGTTGTGATTCAGAGACCAGCAGCATTGCAATTGGTGACACAATAAAAGTTAACGTTTTAAATTGGGCAAAAGGTGACCTCTTGATATATGTGGTAGTTGCATTCCTGGAAAATTCAGATTAAAAATCCTCTTTTTTTGGTAAAATTGAGTTGAGTTCTTGCTTCAAATAATTGATAAGTTCATTAATACAATCTTTGATAAAGAGCTCAACTTAGATACAAAACAAATTTTCTTATTCAATTATCTCTACATGATTTGTTAGTTCACAAATGGTTTAAGGTGACATCAGAATTTTTACTTTGGAAAAACACACGTCTGTGGTGCTCAGCAGACAGAGTCATCAGCACCCTCCAAATCATATCCTAAAAGCCTGTATGAGTGCTTTTGTTGTCACAATAATTAAGGGTTATTACTTGACATGGACACTAAATATCCTTCAATGTGGAGAGTTCCTCACAATAAAGAATTGGACCATGTCCTACTTACATTCCTAAAGATAAAAAACATACTTATTTGAAGCAAGAACTCAACTCAATTTTACCAAGAAAAAAGAATTTTTAATCTGAATTTTCCAAGAATGCAACTACCACATATATCAAGAGATCACCTTTTGTTCAATTTAAAACGTTAACTTTATTGTGTCACCAATTGCAATGCTGCTGGTCTCTGAATCACAACAGGTCACACCTGGGTCAGTAGGAATTCACAGATGTCACACTGCTAGTGATTCTACACATAGGTGTCATCAGCTGAGTACAGTGTATCTTTTAGTCACTGTACCTAGGCATTTGCATACTGAAATACATATTCTTTTCCCTTTATTTCTCCTTTACATTTCTCCTTTACAATTAGAAAAACTGTTTTCTCTCCTTCTCTAAGGATGTAAAAAAAAGTTTGATGTTAAATCTGAATGTCCTTGGGGGGACTCTTTATTGAGGACAGTGAAAACGACACACACTGGAGTTTTTTAAATGTGGGTGGGGAGGTTGTTCGAAAAGAAAAATTAGTCCCTAAAAAAGATGTCATTCATCATCGTCTCTATACATACTCACCACTCTCTTGAAAAGCTGTGCATATATACAGCCTTAGCTTTGTCCACTCTATCTCCCTTTTGGACTTTAACCTATATACTGTATTATATCTCAGGGTACAGGTCAATCTGAAATGCAGCTCTCATCACCCTCTCCCTCACCCATGAATAAACACTTGAGTCTATATTTGACATAGAGAATAAATTTCCTCAAGGTTACCAAAAGTTTAGCTTCAGAAATTCCTACGGTGCAAGATTATTAAGGCAGTCAGGCACAGACTCGGTCTTTTAGACAATCAAATATTCAGGTGGCTTCTAATAAGTAGTTGTGAACAAATCAAATTTAAAATGGTTTGACTTAACTTTAGGTCTAACATAATAGAAAAAACAATCATTTATATATTAGAAAACGGAAACTAATAATTAATCCAAAAAAATTAAGATTATTTTTATGATTAGTGTTCACTAGCCCCAGGAAATTTTAGTATTTATTACAAATATCACTATGAAATATGAAGACAAATTCAAATATGCAAGTACGTTTTGATTGTCCAAATAGAGCTATACCTGTATCTGTGAAGGACTGAATATCATAGGTGAGATCAACACTGAGATTTTCAGAGTTTTCCGTTTTTTTAAACACTAATCCAATCACCCACATCGTGCGAAATTCTTCCCTGAAAAGTAAGAAGAGTATTAATATAGTTTACTAAGCTTTCATAAAAATAGTTATCAAAGTGATTGACAACCTGAGGTATATGGAAAGACTTGAAATATAAATGTATAAGCAAATTCAGTAAAGTTCTAAGCCCAAACTCCATTAAAACTCAAAGTCCTCGCCTGAAACCCGTCCTCTACTTTTCTATTACTATATACACCATCAGAGCACTAGGACAAAAATACTTGTATTATCTATGTACTGATAGCCAATTTTCTTAATGATGATCCTAAAGTACCAGAGACATTGTAAACAAGAAAAAATTATGTTCACACCAACAAAGGAACGGAATTAACATATTGTAGAAAAACGTGAAACAAACGATATCCGTGAAATAAAAATTTAACTAAAACTTAATTGAAAAGGCCACATGAACAAAAATTGACTGACTACACATAGTAACTGGAACAAGAGTACGTCATACCTTTGAACATTTAATATCTACTTAATGGAGCATGCAGTCTTTCAATAATTAAGACTGCAGCAACAGCCCTAACCGGTTTGGCTCAGTGGATAGAGTGTCAGCCTGCGGACTGAAGGGTCCCAGGTTCGATTCCGGTCAAGGGCATGTAACTTGGTTGTGGGCACATCCCCAGTAGGGAGTGTGCAGGAGGCAGCTGATCGATGTTTCTCTCTCATCGATGTTTCTAACTCTCTATCCCTCTCTCTTCCTCTCTGTAAAAAATCAATTAATATATATTAAAAAAAAAAAAAAGACTGCAGCAACAAAAAAAAGTCTATAAAGCTCAAATCATACTCTTTTACATGACTGCAAAAGAAAATAATCTGTACAAGCAATCAGAATAACAGCTATTCTATTACAAGCACAACCTTAAATGATCCACTTATTTGTATTTTCAGTCTTTAATCCCTTTTTTTAAAAGCTTTTTATGAAAACTCACTTCACTCTCCAAATTGCAACAAAATACATATAGAATCTCATCAAACCAGAAATTAACCCATGAAAGACCCTTAAAATATGGAGTGAGCCTCCTTTTATCCTATCTATTCAATGTTCCAGAATACAAGTCAGATTTTTACAAAGTCAAATCCAAGTAAATTCTCTTTTAAAAATTAAGATAAAATGCAAAGACTGATGTTTGCTATAATAGCTAATCTGACAACCACTGCACAAAACAGGACAAGAAAGATATTAAGAAGGAGTGCTAAAGGGCAGACGTGCATAACATGAACAATAATTCACTAATAGGCACCTAATCATTACAATTATCAGAGAAAACAATGTATTTCAGTGGTAGTTTTTTTCTAGGAATAATTTTTCTCTTCAGTTCTGATCAGGAAAACCTAAACTGTAAATCTCAAATTGGTTTTGAGCTACATATATAATCAATAAAAGTGACTCCAGTTATTAAAAATTGCCTATAAATGTTTCTCTGAGTAAAAGTTAAAAATGAGAAGAGAAAATTAAAATAGAAGACTGCTTACTTGTCAGGATTTTCTTTGGGTGCTGGAAATGACTGGGGATTCACATGAGCCAGTGTAATAAATTCATTCTTCTCCAAACTTCCAACCAAGATTCGAATTTTCGATTCCACCAAGCCCACCCTAAACAAATGTCACTTAGTGTTAATAAAAATTGTCAATTTAAAAAATAAAGCAAAATACACAAAACCAAATGTTTATGTAAAGCAGTATTTTGAAGATCATACTTAAACACACAGGGGGCAGTTCAACTGTCTGGACCCCCATAGATAAAACAAAGCCTTATGCTCCACCCAAAAATGCTGAAGAGAAAACAGGGGAGAAGATAATCAAACCACATTTCAAACTAGGAAGATTTCAAAACATATCCTCACAAATATTTAAAGAAAAAAATAGTAAGCTAAATTAAAGCACTTTTTTTTTACACTTACTTTAAATAGACGGTTAGGAAATAATACATGGATCTAAAGCAAACAAAAGTTGTATATGAAACCCCATATTCCTATACTTCCATTATAAGTAGTAAAGCACCATTTATGACTAAAACCAAACTGGATGGTTTAAGAACTTCATCCACTCTCCTACTATGTTCTGTGGCTATCTGATTCATTTTAAAGTTTATTTTTTCTGTAAAGTCTAATCTTGTACTTACCATTCTAGGCGTTGTTTTTCTGTTGGTGCACTTGCTAGAAGTACAATATAATGCCTTTGAAGATAAAGACAACATGCTATTTATTTTATTTAAGTGCTTTGTGCTGGATATTAACACCATAAGATAATAAGCTTCATGAGTTATGTATCAGCATCAACTTAGCAAGGGGGAAATTGCAATCTCAAAATGTACATAAAATAATAAAAGCTAAATTTCCAAGTTGCTATAACCACTGGCAAGTTTAATACTTCTGTAACATTATTATTTTATAAATAATTACCCAAAAAGCAGCTTAATTCAAGAATGCTGAATAAACACTAACTGATAATTTGGTTCAATGACTAGAGTGGAGCACTTTACCTATAAAAAGCTGCTCACTAAAATACAGTGCATTAGAACAAAATTATTTTAATGGAAATAAAGCACCAATCAAGGTTGTAGCCACAAGAACAGGATCACTAAAATTGCATATTACATCAGTATCTTCAAAAAGCAGTATCAAACACATCATGCTTCTTAATTCAAATAAAAGGTAGCAAAAACAAAGCCAAGTTAATTAATACTGAAGTTAGGCCTCATGACTTTTTTCAAGTAACAGCATACATTTCTGTAACAAAGAAACAGACATCACTAAGGTGAGAGGATTGAGGAAATTTGATTTCTATGCAGATTCCAATTCCGTTGAAATTAAGAGAAAAAGAGCCCTAGCCAGTTTGGTTCAGTGGATAGAGCGTCGGCCTGAGAACTGAAGGGTCCCAGATTCAGTTCCTGTCAAGGGCATGTACCTCAGTTGCAGGCTCCTCCCCAGCCCGGACCCTGGTCAGGGCACATGCAAAAGGCAACCAATTGATGTGAGAAAAACACATCAATGTTTCTCTCTGTCTTTCCCTCTCTCTCCCACTCTCTCTAAAAATCAATGGAAAAGTATCCTTGAATGAGGATTAAAAAAAAAAAATTAGAGAAAAAGCAAGTTTTTAGAAAATACCATCAAGATCAAATAACTATTTTAAGTACTTTTTAAAACAAACTACAACTGAAGCGTAATTCATACAATTCCATTTGATAAGAGCAGAAAGTTCAGTCCTATACACTTTCCTACAGAATCGTTTTACAGGTGCTGCAAGCCAAACTCCTCACTTCACCTCAAAGAGCAAACTAACATTATCAGGTTTAAATTACTTTATTCATTCAAAAGGCTGGACCTTTTGTTATCTTTCGCATTTTACAGATAAGATTTCTGTCCAGAAGCAAATGTATGCCTGAGACCCAGAAAAGAAACCACCACCAGCCCTAGTTCAAATTAGCCACCCACCCCTCGAAGATATTTAGAGGCAAGGGATACTGAAGATTTGGCAAGTTTAAGCATTTATTTTAACCAAACTCCCTTAAAACAGACTATTTGATTATTTATGCTCACGAAGTATTTGAAAAAAAAAAATAGTTCTGATTTTTCATAGCTGTGGAACTCAGACCTAGACTTGTACAATGGGTAACACCTCAGGAGGGCTTGAGAAGTTCAAATGAGTTAAGCTCAAATACTTATAAATTAATGGGAACAGAGGTGATGTATATACATACGAAAACATATAGCTAGATATGTGAATATGCAGTCTAAATCCATACAGACTACTACTTCCTTTCCCATTTTAACCTGGTCAGCATTATTGGGAGCAAACCAATACAGCTGACCCTTGAACCACACAGGTAGGTATGAACTGCACAGGTCCACTCATATGTGATTTTTTTTTCAATAAATACTGTAAATGCATTTTCCTTATGACTTTAATAACATTTTTTCTCTAGCTTACTTTATTTTAAGGACAAAGGATGCAATACTTAAATAACATACAAATTGTGTCTCTCAATTATTTATGTTAACAATAGCGTTTCTAGTCAACAGCACAATATTAGTAGTTAAGTCTTTGGGGAGTCAAAAGTTACACAAAGGCTTCAACTGCATGGGGGTTTTAGTGCCCCTAACCCCTGCATTTCTCAAGGGTCAACTGTATATAGAACAAGCACAGATGCCCAAATAAGTAAGTCACATGGAAGCACTTTCAAAAGCTCATGCATTTTATGCACACAGAACCCTACTCTCAGGAGCCCTAACTTTTATTAAATCAAACAAATCCTAACAAGATCAGTAACCTGATTTCCAGTTCCCTAGGAAATTGAAGATGGGAAGATTTAAAAACAAAAACAGGGAAAAGCAGATAGCTCTCTGACAAAGTATAACAACTTATAACAAGAGACAACAAAGTATAAAAAGCAAGCATACATAAAAACTCAAAAAAAGCAAAATTGTCTGGGTTCACCTAGCTTAGGGACAAAACACGCCATCTCTAAATCACTTTACCACACTATTAAAATGGATATTCTTAATGACCATCTGAGTCTTCAACAAAATCTAAAATGTACAATGTTCTCTATTTACTAAGGCAAATATACAAATCATTTAAACATATTTTGTTGGCAATTCAAAGGTTAATGTTTGAAGTTTAGAGTTCGACTAGTTCTTGATGAGTTGGAGGGAGGGTATCTACTCTGTACATTGTTTAAATACAAATGCATTTATTTCAACACAGCGGAGAGTGTTGAATAACTGATAAATATTTATGCTGAGGTTAAATGTCCTTTACTCAGCCACATTTAAGCAAATTTAAAGTGGTAGATACAAAATACAATAATTTAGTTCAACATAAATAACTTGCCATCAGGAACTTATTTATAAAACAAAGACTCGTCCATGGAAGAAACTAAGAGCAGAATCCCAACTCAGTGTAAGTCTTAAAAACCGGAACTGGTGTTCAGTTCCTCAAATCCCTATCAGAGCATAAAGACCAAGTAGTACTAAATTTAGACTATTTTGTTGCTGCTCAAAAAAATAAAATGTAATCCCCTATTTCATTCTGTCAGGCTTTAGGCACTCAGATGCCCTCAGAGACACTTTCAAGTATTAATGTAATAGCAATTAACATTTCCCCAAATTTAAAATTTATCTATTCCCAATAATAAATTTAAGTATAAAATTGTGCTCCAAATGAATTAAACCCTACTTAAAAACTCCCAAGAACATTTAATTTAGTTGCTATTATTACTTAAAAAGTATCTTGTAAGTAGGTTTCCTATTTCATACATTAATATTTTACCTGGGTAGATCATAGCTCATGAGTGAAAATTTAATTCTTTCTTTGAAAAAATCCATGCTATTCCATCTTTAAGTAACTCTGGACCAAGACTTATAGTTCACTATTGTTAGTTTTTAAAACATTTTAAGGCTAAAGTATTTTATACATATGTACTCCTTGAAATTATAAATTATTAATCTTACACCTTAAACAACATTCTGGCTTTTTTCCTATATCTTCTCTTCCTTGTTTCCTAGTGAAATCAAACACCTAAAATAAGTATTCACAGTTACTATGCCAATAACTGATTTTATTCTACTTAAGTTTTAATTTGAGTATCCCTTAAGGAAAAAAATAATTTTCTTAGGATTATTTAAGATTTCACAACACAATGTTATTCCCTTCAAAAGGACCACTAATCTCTTCTGGAAAATGATTCGTCTTCAGAAGACAGACAAAATTTCCTCCATACTTCTCTCCCTTCCAAGAATGGCAAGCAGGTATTTTACACGATTTAAAATCTTAGACGTAACAAATACTTGCACGATATACTTCAAATAAGGTTTAACCAATTTTGATTCAAGGGAAAACTTAAGAATTTCAATTCAGTTGTACAGCCAATCTTTAGAGTATGTCATATATGTTAAAAGACAAAGTCAAGACTGGCCTGTGTGGCTCATTTGGTTGGAGTATTGTCCCGTCCACTGGAAGGTTCCATTTCTGATCAGGGCACGTCTAGATTGCAAGTTCAGTCCCCACTCAGGGTGTGCCCTGGAGGCAACCGATTGATATGGCTCACATCGATGATTCTCTCTCCCTTCCTCTTTAAAAAAACAAACAAAAAAACCCCTCAAATCTGTAAATACCTCTGAAGTCTAATCAAAGTATTTATTTACTAGAAATTTGAGAAAATTTTTTGAAGAAATTCAATTTGGTATAGAGAGAATTAGCCCATTGTTGTCATGACTTCAAATCTGTTTTCCAAGAACTCACAGCTGAAATTTTATTTTTCCTGACATAATTTCCTATTTGTTGCTATATCTTCATGTCTAATTAAGTTTAGTCATTTGTGATAACCTATAATGATTGTTTCAAGAGAATTCAGTAGATGGGAATCTATAATCTTTTCAGTAGACTGAAGAGCTGACAGACGCTATTTGGCACAGATTGAAAGACAGCCTAAAAGTTTTAAAAGGAAAAGATTAAGCAAACTTAAAAAAAAACTTTCCAAGTTCTAATAAAACAAATATATTCAAATGAATAACACTATCAAGCTTTGTTCAATTTCAACAGTAATCTTTCCTAAAGTAAAGAAAGACACTGAAGTACTTTCAAGAACTTCATTCTACCCACCTCTCATCCTATGAGGAAATGAGATAGGAAAAAGAATGAATCTAGCTTCATCTTTGATTCTCAGGCATTCAGAGATGTTGCTACTTGTCTATAAAACCAATTTATTACTCTCCACACAAGTAATTATGTACTCTATTATGTAGTTTTTAAAGTATCAGAATATATGTTCATTAGCTTAAATGTTCAAAAGTGCTCCCTAAACACTGATTCAAATAAAAAACAAACAAAAATTATCTGCCAAATGGAAAAGCACAACTTATGGGGAATAAGTAATAAACAAGAACATTCAATGTTATGCTATTTAACTGTTTACTGGCAAGGTAGTGCTCCCAGAACACAATTAAGCTGGCTCCATCACTGCTATTTCATGCAAAAGATACAGAAACAAAACACAGAGACATCATGAAGGTCATCATTCTTGTTTTTAATTGGGGAAATAGCATAAAGCAATCTTACTTAGATTATTACAAAACACAATCCACAAAATCAAATGGTCAGGAAAGTTTCAACCATTAAAGAAAAAAAATTAAGTGGGACTTTGGCAAGTTTTCAGCTCAGGGCAAATAAAAGTGCAAGTCCATTTTTTTTTTAAAGTAAGATTTATTGTAACTTACAATTTCATCAAAACCAACACAATCAGGCTTTTAACCTGTACTAAGGTGTTAAACCATTATATTAAAACCATTAGTAAAAACTATTACCCCAACCTAGATTCCAAAAGAATTATTTGTGGAAATATTTAAAGGGGCTTTGTTAACATTAGGGGGAATCTGTAGGCCAACTGTATGCTGTTAACTATTGAAAACATTAAACTATAATGACACTTTATTAGCTTTGCCTATGTTATAGAGAATCTTAATGATAAGTTTCCAGAAATAGCTGAAAATACTTAGTGTCTTAATAGAGAATATTAACTACAAATTTTAACAGTTCACTCCTTTGCCAGAGTATACAGATTTTGAGGTTTGGTGAGGACTAACATGTATCTAAAAATTGAAGTTTCTACAAATATAGGAGTCTGGTTACAGAAAGCAGCAAAACTGTAGGGGCCATACTTAACCTTGACAGATAAAAAAAATAAGGGGTTTAACTAAAAACAGTGCAACCTTTGTGACAGGCAAGTTCTGTAGAAGATGCTTAAAGACAAATTCAGAACTATATTCATCTAGCAAGAAGAGACTGCACATATGAACCATTACTTAAGAGAGCAACATGTCCGACATGCCTTAAAATACATACTTGTACTTTTGAAAGAAGTTTGGAGCTTCAAAAAGTTTGGACCACTCTCCCTTACTCAGCAAAATTTCATCTGTGATAGCAAGACCTAAATTAAAAACACATTAAAATGTTTGCATGGTTCAGTCTAACAACCTAGAGTTTTAAAGATCTTAAACATACCACATGCGTTCACTAAAACCTAAAATAATTTTATCAAAAGGCAACTTTAGTCAATAATTTTAGAGCATAAAGATTCTTACATACAAACACTTTTCAAAAAAGCTGGAGGACTTTTTTGAGCCCAGAGTCTGGTATATTCCCATTAGTCTAAAATTCCACGCTCAGAGAATGACTTCAAAAACTGAAGCACTATAGCTACTCAAGAAATTTTTCCCCAAAGCTTTGTTTCTTGTCTTTCAAAACCATGCTTCCTGCTGACTCTAAAAGGACAGCGTATCTTCCCATAGGAAGCTGTTTAGACCACAGAAAAACATGGTTCCCTCGGAGTTTGAGGCTGGAAGTTGTACAGCTAATACTACTTCCTAGGCTGGTGTCAGTCCAATCCAACAATCCCATTCCAGTAACTTCCTCAAAGACTGACAATAGCTGTACTTTCAAACAATCAGTAGTATTGGGGTTCAGAAGTTTAGTGTTTCTTCCAAAATAACGGGCAGTTTGAACCCAATCCTGCTCAAAGTTCTTTCCAAGAATATAGTTTGCTAAAAACATCTCATTTCATGAGATTATTTAAAATTTTACATGGCAATCGTATATGGCACTAAACCAACCCCAAAAAGCCCTGCTGCTTAGAATATGGCTTTAAATACTGGTTAGTCTCCCTATATAATCAAAAGTAAACTGCCTAAAAGGAATTAAACTGAGTTTTTCATATCAATTCACAAATATATATTGTAATCAATAAATAAAAACACCAAAAATCTACCTTGGTGAACGCTTTCTTCAATTTAAATTGTATGCCCAACTACTGGGTCTACAATGACTATGTAAATCCTTGTGTATAAAGGAGAGCATAAGGATAACCACTTACCTTGTTTAAACTCCTCAACCATGACCATCCGTGTTGAAACGGACACATTGTACGTGGAGTTCTGCTGTGGGTATGCTGGTGTAATTATAGGCATAAGATGGTACCTATCACTGGGGTTTACCTACATATAATAACAGCCAATCAGTTTCTTCAAGTACATATGCAACAGATACTTGGACTTTTTACCCCTTGTTAAACTGAACCAATGATTAAATTTTATTTCATTCATAGCTGGAGTTGAGAAAGAAAAACCATGTAAGGAGACATTGTTTTTATAGGAATTCTATAGAATCAGGATTTGGTCGAACTAATGGTCTGTTTCAATCACTCAGGCATGACTATTTTGGTAACCTCACTCTACAGAAACTGTGTGCCTGCCGAGCAAAAAAGGTCCTACTTAGACGGCTACTGATGTTTAGTTTTTCTTTTTTCAACAACAGAAATGGGGATGCACACACAATTACACTTTTCAGAAATGTCTTATTCCAATATTCTGTGTGAATCAAATTTTAAACAAGATGAAAACTTATACTTTAGTATACCCTCAACATATAAAGAATTAAGCTTAATTTATTAACATATGTTGAAACTATATTTTCCATGTTGGTATCCTTTTATGAGATAATGAACTGATTTAATAACTGTTTATCTTAATCCATATACTAGGGATAAGTGGCATATTTCCTCAAAGAAAACTGTAAACTCACATCTCTCCAAAAATGCCTTCGGGTATGGAAAACTTGAAAATATACAACTTGAAATAATTAACATAACTTGAAGCTAATAATTTTGATACTGTAATAAGATAGCGAAACAATGTAGAAAAATAGAATTTTATAAACCTCTAAAGCCTTATTCAAACCTAAATATTTTACCTATTAAAAAAGTGCATGTTGTTAACATTTAAATGGAGTAAGCAGTAAAGACCGGAACTTCCCAAGCAGAGTGGAAGCTCTTTAGCACAACCTTGTTTCTGTCATCTGAAATACCCAAACCAATTTTTATAATTACATCATAGAAATTAAAGTTATATGCTTAGAAGGTATCTGCCACAGGTAAATATTAAGCAACAGTTTTCCTATAACAACCCAATTTTAACAATATTTAGATCAAATAAAAAAATACAGGGATTTTTAGTATCCTTTTATTTTTTTTTAAGCACAAATGCCCGCACACTTTGACTTACAAGGTAGTTCTATATAAAATAAATTAAAATGTTAGTGAACTTGATATTATAAATATGTACAATTAAATGTAGTTTACAGGGTACATAATTATGCTTCTCACATCAGAAGACAATTATAGCTGAGGTTATCTAAGAGAAAGTGTAATACGAACATGTCCACTCATAGGTAAAAGGATGGAAAGTGTCCCTGAAGTTTATGCAGATGACTTTTACTTGTTATTGCACAGTGTGAATTTGTAGGGGAAAAAATAATACACTAACCCTTGGGTCCCATACAGGCAAATTAAGATTGCATTCTTCAGGCTGTTTCAATAGCACTGGATTTGGCCATTCCCTGTTTAAAAAGATTGTAGCACTTGATAAGACTTGGATATTACCATCTAAACGTATTTTGTTAAACATACAGCATTGTGAATGTGATCCTTCTTCATTCATTTTGCCCTTTTGGTATACATCATCTTTTATTCCTGTTGACGTTAAGCTACTTGAAACACTTTTCCTCTATGAAATTAACTTAAACCACTTGGTAGCTTTTTCAGACTGAAGTAAAACATCTTGTCTGCCCCTCAAAGAACTGATAATGCACTATTTAAATTAAAAAGTACTGCTCCAAGACATCTGACATGTTCACCTCAACCCCTAACAGATAAATCCTCTTGAAACACAAAAATCCTATCTTTAGCTCATTCCAAAGACAACTGAGAATGAAAAAGTTAACTCATTATAGGCAAAGCATAAATAATTATAAAAATTGATTAGGACATTTTTCTCTGCCGCGTAACTAAAGGTTATGAGTATGTGTAATAAAAAAATTTGTGATGTGAACACATAATTTTCAAGATGCACCCTATGAGTTAGCCACTTCAGTCCTTTATGGAAGAGATTAAAAACTGGAAAACATTTGCCATTCTCCATATCAAGGTTAACATCTTTAACATTATATTTGCTATATATGTGTAGCATTAAGAAAAATTCTGACATCCTTTAGTTATTCTCATCAAACCTGATTAGACATGATGAAGTACTACCAAAACCATAAAGAACAGAATGTGTCTTTAAGTGTGGCACAGGCTTTACATTATCAACTGTATCAAAAGAACCCTCTGATTTTTATAAAATAGAAAAGACTCTTTTTGTTCCCGAGGGAAGAGGTATAGGAGTTGGCAGGCATAGAGGAAAGACAAATCTCTAAAATTTTATTAAAACCAAAAACCCTGAGCTTTTGGGCCAAAGCAACTAATACAAAATGCCAATAACCTTTTATCTTATTATTCTTTAAAAAAAAAAAAAAAAAAAGTGGCACTAGCTGGTTTGGCTCAGTGGATAGAAAGGGTCCCAGGTTCGATTCTGGTCAAGAGCACATACGTACCTTGGTTACAGGCTCGTCCCCGGCCCAGGCCCTGGTCAGGGCATGTGCAGGAGGCAACCAATCAATGTGTTTCTCTCACATCAATGTTTCTCTCTGTCTTTCCCTCTCTCTTCCATTCTCCCTAATAAACAATGGAAAAATATCTTCGGCTGAGGATTAACAACAACAAAAAAGTGAACTTCCTGAAATAAGGGAGTTAAAGAAAAATCTCTGCAGGGTTAATGAATAATCTCAGAGCGATGGTCAATTAATTGCCATTTTTCAAGCAGTTAGTTATTCTTAAAAGCTTTTTATGGGGTGACTCAGTGGTTGAGTGTCAACCCATGAACCCGAAGGTCACGGTTCAATTCCAGGTCAGAGCACATGCCCAGGTTGCAGGCTCAACCCCCGGTGGTGGGAGTGCAGGAGGCAGCCAGTCAATGATTCTCTCTCATCATTGATGTTTCTATCTCTCTCTCCATCTCCCTTCCTCCATGAAATCAATAAAAATGTATTTTTTTAAAAAAGCTTTTTATATAGTTTGCATCTTAATGGGCAGCTGAAAGCAAAAACAATCAAGAAACTAAGGGACTACAGATTTAGAATAATTCAAAGAGTAAAAGGTGGTGTATATATAAAGTTTATCCAAAGTCGCTGATATCCCAGCCTATCAAGTCACTAAATTACAGACACTACAGCTAAAATTCAGAGTTTATTTAGAGGGTAAGTTTCTGCAGGAGGTACAAATAGCAACTGCCTTACTATCCTGGGAAAGCTAGGGAAAAGGAATGGAATTAAGTTTGCCATTTTATATACATGACCTCCCCCACCAAGACTACCTAAATAGCTACAACATGAACTAAAATTTGAATCTGAAATCAGCTGCAGAAATGTCATAGAAATAAGACTGAACTTCAGTGTCTATAATCAATTTTATTTTAATATAATCTAAACACATACCATTTAGAAAATACCAAGAAAAATTTATGTACAAGAGTTGATGCTATTGCATTTGGATAAAGCTGGCAAGTTCTTGCTACTAGCATAGCCCAGGAAACACCACCGAGGAAACCTAATATATTGGAATAGATGTTGTGGCCTGTTGATAAGGGAAAAGCAAAAAGAAAAGTTAGTGTTGAACAAAAGCTTAAATAGTTTTAATAAGCTAGCCAACAAATTCTGAACTCACGTTTGGCCCACAGTTTGATAGCTCTCAGAGTTAACCTGAAGTTGTCAATGTTTGGTACTAGGTGTAAAATTTCATCGGTTACCCTGCAACCTGATTAACGGGAGTGAAAAAAACAAAACACTGAATCATCAAAATTTTAATGATAATATTTCTTTTAAAGTTCTGAGATTAATGTCAAACTTAAAAACTTTATTGGTAAAATCAATAATGTTAATTAAATTAAGAGGCAAATAAAAAACTGTAAAACTTTCATCTCCTATCAAAAGCAGTACCCTCAACCAAGAATCTGAACTGTAATGTGCTTCATCTCAAACTTTCAACCCATAATTAATCTAGTCCAGAAATACTGAGGAAGGCTTGAGCCACTTAAATTGCCATGATTTGTTCTTCAAGAGCATGGTAACGAGCAGTGCTAATACACGTATTCAAAGGCAATCCTTTAAGTACAACAGTTGAAAACATTACAAAGGACATCGAAATCAAAATTAATTAGAGTTGCATTGTAAAACCAAATCATTAGCAATAGAGTGCCAATGTCAGACAGTCTTTAAATGTCCCAGGAGATTAAAAAGAAAAAAAAGTGAAAAATGAATAAAATAAATTACCAAATACCCTCTATAGTCTGATAAATAAGGCACATTCAATTTGAATAACTATGGATAAACAATATGGCTATAAAACACTTCATTAAACTTGAATTTAAACTATTTCATATTTGACAAAAACTGCTACTATGCAAAAGGAAGTAGGTTTCCACATACCGTTAAGACTTCTTATGCATCTTATATCTAAATTTTTAAGCAGACTGTCATCTCGTAAGTCCAAGTCTTCTGGAATAGTCTGTAGTGCTAATCTTGCAAATAAAATATCAATCTAAAACAGAAACAAAACTCAACATTCTGTATCTATCAAACTATTTTTAGGTGTTTCTTTAAAAAAGAAAGCATTTATACTCCGTAAAGCCAGGATCTTTTCATCAATTATCAACCTAACAATGCCTCCAAGAGCCCAATCAATATTAATTCTCTCATAGGTATTTTAACCAGATATTAAAACATGGCAATATGAAACAGAACATGCATAAATACCTATTTGTCATTTTAATTCTACTAAGTTTGATTTCCTATAAAATGCATCTACTGGATTTACTAAGTTTGCTAAATGTATATACTGGATCACTTAAAATTAACTGTTTCGTTCTCCATCTATATGAACTGTAAAATGAACTGTAACAGGTACACAAATATAAGGCTATATTTAGCACAAATATACCTTTTAGTAAAAAAGAAGCTCTTTATTTTAAGAATTTACATATCTATACTATTATATTATAGTATGTTTCTCCAACTTAGTTTGACTAAGAAAGCAAAAACAATACTGGCTAATTTTGAAAGCTTTTAGAATACAAGTGACATTCCATTTCTTTTTTCCAAGAAAAGGTTGGTGTGCAAAGAAACTTAGCACAGATTTGTTCATTATTCCTGAGGGTACCATTTCATGTTTCCAGAACTCTGGATGTTGCTTGAAACAAGCCTTTGATAAGATCACTTCAAAAACAAGTATTTTAAGAGATTATGAAAAATCATTCACATGAACTTGTATGTGATAGGAAAAAACTATACATATAAAAATAGTACTTATGGTGTAGCATGTTTTCTAATAAAACAGATTCTAAAGCCCCAACTTAGACAAAAATAAAGATTATATGCTCACAAAAATATTAACTCTAGAAAGCAACTAGATGATGACACTGACATTTAAAAAATAAATGAAATTGCCCCCACGGTGTGGCTCCGTGGTTAAGCGTCGACCCATGAACTAGGAGGTCATCAGTTTGATTCCCAATCAGGGCACATGCTCGGGTTGCAAGCTTGATCCCCGGTGCAGGGCATGAAGGAGGCAGCCAATCAATGATTCTCTCTCATAATTGAGATTCTTTTTTTTTTTTTTTAATATATTTTTATTGATTTCAGAGAGGGAGAGAAAGATAGAAACATCAATGATGAGAGAGAACCATTGATTGGCTGCCCTCTGCACACCCCACACTGATCAATTACACATAGCAAAAGCCACCTTACCTCTATCCCATCAAAACACAGTTTGATAACTGGCACAAATGCCTCTTCAACAGCCTGAAAGAAAATCCAACAAGTTTAATGTCTCTGAAAATACACACTAGATCTACACTAATTTTAGTATTTTTTAATGAATGTGATATTTGAAATTGTTTGAAAACAATTTAGCATAATATCTGACAGAGTCTCAGCAACTAGCTTTAGCACACGAGAATCTTGAATTAGACAAGCTTAAGTTCAAATCCTTGACTTCTGCCACTCAGATATGTTACTGTGGCCAAAACACATAATATTTATTTTGTTTGTCTTATTTCCTACTCTGTACACCAGATTTATGATTTCAGGTTTATTGTAAAGAATAAAATGCAAGCATACATGTTATGTACTTAAAAGGGTTTGGCAAATTTTAAGAGTTCAACAAATGATGTCTATATCATAAAACTCACTCAAATGACTAATTTTTATAACTCCTCCCGTTTCACCCCGAACATTTACGTACTCTTAAATCTTTTACTTCTTCCTGTAATTTCAACTTATCATAGAATGAGGTGAAAAAGTCACTTCGATCAACATGCCTTGGTGCAACACACAACGCATCAATATCGGCACCTAGAAAAGATTAAGACCATCAACCACTAATTTCTATTACAAAAAAATTATTTTGCGTCTTACCATGGCAGTATTTGATGTTGAAAATCTGTTATTATATTGGTGAACCAATAAAAATGCACCCCTCCCCCTTAAAAAAAATTACCAGTCAATATAGGAATAATATGATTCTAATTAATGGGATATGTATTTTCCTGTAGCATCCTCTAGTTGCAATGACCCGGGTGAGCTGGGAGGCAAAGAAAGGACTAAGATAGGACTTTTATGATGAAGAGAAGGAATTATTCAAGAACAGACCCAACATCTTGATGTCATTAGTCATACACATGTCCATTAGTGAAACAAAGAAATAGTTTTCTTCTATACATAATGTGACTAGTTCTTATGGGCTCCTACCTATCCCCTAAATGGGATAAAAAGGATAAATATCAAGAAGGACCACTGGCAAAAATCCAATGAGGCAGACAATGAATGGTAAGATATTTGTTATTAACACATTGAATGCAGGAAACGTATTTATACGTTTTACGTTGACTGGGAGTAAGTAGAGAGCAGGACACGTATTAATACGTTTTTTTTATAGACTAGCGGTAGAATACGGGTAACGTATAAATACGTAAACTAAAGTTATCATAATTTTACTGAACGTTGCCATTTGCGCAAAAAAATTAGCAAAAATGGCCTGCGCCACGTGCCACCTGTTAGCGCCTGATGAAAACTACCCGCATACAATGTGTTAATTTAGTGTTTGATAGCAGGTCAACACTGAGTGCACAGGAAGAACAACAACAAAAAAGGAGATGATTAAAATCAGTAACTGAGATCATAAAAGGGAGAGATAAATGTGGAATCAGGTTAACATAGACATTTTCCTAAAAGACTCAACTACCATGAAGGTTGTTATTTACCATATTCATGAAGTAGAAGAGCACATAGTACACTACTGGCACAAAGTAGTGGGAGATGGTGAGAAGGAAGGATGCCGGAACAAAAAGAACACATATATATTGGCAGGTAACTTTTAACTTAGAGGCCAGTGGTTAATGGTTAAAAAGTACAGCCTCAGAATTCCCAAGAAGAATCCTAGTTCTGCTGAGATGGCTGGGGAAATTATTCAAGCTTTATTGCCTCTTTAAGTCTCAGATTCCTACATATTACATGAGAATAAGAGTACTGAGGAATAGCCCTAGCTGGTTTGGCTCAGTGGATAGAGCATCGGCTTGCAGACTGAAGGGTCCTGGGTTCAATTCCAGTCAAGGGCACATACCCGGGTTGCGGGCTCAATTGCCAGGAGGAGGCATGCAAAAGGCAGCCAATCAATGATTCTCTTTCATCATTGATATTTCTATAGCTCTCTCCTTCTCCCTTCCTCTGAAATCAATCTACAATAAAAGTGTAATATGCTAATTAGACCAAACATCTTCCAGACGTCTTTCCTGATGAAGCCGGGGCCAGAGGCAAGTCAGCCCAGGTCCCAGGTGCCTGTGGGTGGTCTGAGGGAAGCCAGCCCGTGTCCTAGGTGCCTGCTGGTGGCCGGAGGAGGGAAGCCTGGGTCCCGGGTGCCAGAGGGAAGCCAGTGCTGGCAGCTGGGGGATGGAAGGCCTACTCTTGCACAAATTTTTGTGCATCGGGCCTCTAGTAAAAATATATAAACAAACAAAAAATGTGTTTGTCTTTACACAGCTTTAAAGAAAAAGAGTACTGAGAAATAAATAAGATAATGAAGACCAAAAACGTATTTGTGACATGCTCAATAAAAAGAAAAGGTTCAACATATGTTCTCTACCATGACAACATTTTTATTGTATATTTATATGCACAGAGGAAAAAAGTGTCAATAAGAAAATATTGACAATGATTGTCAATGGCTACAGATAAACATTTTTATTTATTTTTCTTACCTGTATTTTACAACTATAATAAAAGCATGAGGAAAAGAAAACCCATAGTATTTTTAAAACACTGGTTCATTTTTGTTCTGATTTTCAGCCTGATATTCTTCAGGCAGAAGAAATGACATAGAGAGCAGCACTATTCAAAAGAACCCTCCAATGAGGAAACTGTTCTGTGTCTGCACTTTCCAATATGATGGCCACTAGCCATACGTGGATATTCAACACTTAAAATGTGGCTACTTCCACTGAGGAACCTAATTTAAAATTTCCGGTAATACGGTATTGGACAGTGCAGGTGTAGAATGCATATTTTATTTCTTTCTCCTTACCAAATTTAGGCTCCTTGAAGTGTTCTCTTTAATGCAAATGTAAGCTGCATGATACAACACAAACAACTAAGATGGATATCTCATTATAATTTTTTAAGAACTAAAAAAGGTATTCCTTCTCAAAATAATTAAAACAATATTTACCTTTTGTGTGTACTCCTAATCTGTAAGATCCAAATGTAAAAATTTTTCCTCCAACATTTTCAATTACAGATTGTGGAAGATTCTGTTGAAACAAACAAAGAATGGTCATTTTCCCAGTGGAACACAGAGAAAATTATCCTAATATATAAAAACCCTGGGTTGTAACGACCAGTCACGACCAAGGTTCAACTAACCGGAAATCAGTCCTGCAGTCAGCGCTAATAGCGCTGACTACTTCCCCTTAGGTGCGGTGCCCCTAAGGGGGCTGCGAATCAGGACCAGAGAGAGGCCTGAAGAGAGAAGCAGGGACTGATCCGTTGCCTCTGTGGCAGCTTTTGATCAGCACTTGCCTCTCTCTTTCTCTTCCAGTCTGGCCAGCAGCCGCACCTCCATTTCTCTCCAGGCCTCCACCGGGGATGATCAGCCTTTCTGATCAGTTGGGGGCAAGATCAGGCCAGCAGGGAAGGGCAGTTGGGGCGAGATCAGGCTGGCAGGGGAGGGCAGTTGGGGGCAACCAGTCCAGCAGGGGAGGGCAGTTAGGGGCGATCAGGAAGGCAGAGGGGTTAGGGGCAATCAGGCAGGCAGGCAGAGGTAGTTAGGGGTGATCAGGCAGGCAGGCAAGCGGTTAGGAGCCAGCGGTCCCAGATTGCGAGATGGATATGTCCAACTAGCAGTCGGACATCCCCCAGGGGGTCCCCAATTGGAGAGGGTGCAGGCTGGGATGAGGGAACCCCACCCCCACTCCGTGCATGAATTTCGTGCACTGGGCCACTAGTGTCAAATAACACTATATTAAAAAGTAAGATTTCAGTGCAAAGTTATATAGAGGATAAACAAGCTTATAAGCTCTACAAAATACCAGGCCTTCATAGATCAACCTAATCTGAAATGCAAGCAACATTCAACTTTTCATGAGTGTTCTTCTGTGAAGATCCTTATTATTTTAGAATCTTGCCACATTTCTGGAAACTGCTTTAAAGACTATGGTAAAGGAGATCATGTGATTACGCAGGAGCAATGAATCAGCTTTTATTCATGACAAAGATGCTGCATAAATCATTGCTTATATTCAATGATTATACCAAATATTCCATAGTACATTAAAATATAATTTATCAGATCAAAGTGACTGACTTTGATGCCAATACTGCTCCATAATGACTTAGTTGTTTTGATTTCCTAGACCAGTGGTCAGCAAACTGCGGCTCGCGAACCACATGCAGCTCTTTGGCCCCTTCAGTTTGACTCTTCCACAAAATACCACGTGCGGGCGTGCACGTACAGTGCGACTAAAACTTCGTGGCCCATGCGCGTAAGTTGGTATTTTGTGGAAGAGCCACACTCAAGGGGCCAAAGAGCCGCATGTGGCTCGCGAGCCGCAGTTTGCCGACCACTGTCCTAGACTTTGGTGGATGATTCTGAGCAGAACTAAACTTACTGATGGTTTCTTTGAATAGAAACACCAGAAACAGGAGAAAGGAAAGCATTACAAGTCATCTTTGCTTTAAAAAAAAAAAAAAAGAATATTTTCTTAAATGGGTCAAATGAATTCCACACACCATTCTAAGAATACATTTCCTTTATCAGAAGACCAGTCATGGATTCCTCAGTGTGTGTATGATTTTTCATAATTAAGGATTAGGAACTCAGGGAATGTTATTTTAAAAAACTAACTATTTACTTTGGGAGTCTAATACCTGAAAACCTAAAAAATGCTCATTGTTGTAAGATTCCTTAGAAGGTAACAAGACTCAAATATTTAATATACACTTTTAAAGCACTTTTCCAGGGATATATCTACTATTTCAGTAAAGCATATAAGTAAGTAGTCATTTTCAGCTTTGAAATGTTGCAACCAAAAGGTGCTTATAAAAAATAAAACATGTTTAGAAATTACTGAATTCACTTCTTTTACCTACTTTCAAAATAATTAGAAACAAAATATAAATTACTAGAAGCCCGTTGCATGAAGATTCGCGCAATAGGCCTTCCTTCCCCTGGCTGCTGGCACCAGTTTTCCTCTAGCACCCGGGACCCAGGTCTTTGGTCCAGCCGCAGCGGAGAAGCCAAGCCTCGAGGCTTGGCTTCACCCCTCCGGCCGCAGTGAGGTTTGGCTTCTCCACTGCAGCCGCAGCGGAGATGCCAAGCCTCTTCAGTCTTCAGTCTTTGCTCCGCACCTGTGTATGCAAATTAACCACCATCTTTGTTGGGTTAATTTGCATTGTCGCTCTGCTTGGCTAGTGGACGTAGCAGAGTGACACCAATTTGCATGTTTCTCTTTATTAGTGTAGATGTTATCAAGACTAAATCTACTTAAACAAGAACCACTATGTTCTTTGGCAAATTACTTCATATGCAAGTAAGTCAACTTACCTTGCTTTCACTGATTTCTCGTATCCACTCTTTTACCAGGTTATTTAATTTTCCCAAAATTAAAATCCTGTTGATAGAGCAAATATCAATCAGCAAATCATTTGTTATTCTAAATCATCTCTCTATATAAAAGGCTAATATGCAAAGTGTCCCCTCAAGAGTTCGACCAGGAGTTTGATCGCTTGCTCGCTATGACATGCAATGACCACCAGGGGGTGGCATGGAATGAAGGAAGGCCCTGGCAGCAGCTGGCAGGAAGGCCTCAGCCCTGATCTCTGGCCAGGCCTAGCAACCCTACCCATGCACAAATTTCGTGAATCGGGCCTCTAGTTACTTATTAAACTGCAACAGTTTTCAAAAGGTGGCTTCCTAAATTTAAAAGTTTATAAGTTATCAGAAAGTAAGTATATAGTAGTTAACAATAAGTAGGCATTCCTCTTTCTCTTGACAATTCTGTACTATAATAATCAATAGCCTAAAAAAAAAAATCAAAATATAGGGAATGCAGCTCTATATAAAAGTTTTTTCCTAAATATCACCCTTGTCTGAAACAGAGATAGATAGAATAATAATTCAGACTTTCTGAGTCAAGAATGCCTCAAAATTAGTCTATTATGTTAATAAGAAATTATAAATTTTTATATATATTTACCTGCGCTGCAGTTCCTCTTCTTCTTCAAAAACCCCATAGGGTTTCAGAGTCTCAATTAGTTTCTGTGTAAGCAGGCAGTCGGTCTCCTTGGGGGCTGCTAAGCTGATAGGAGAGGTAATGCCATAGTGCTTCTGTGGCGGCTGTGTTTGCTGTGATCCCTGCGTTGTAACTGGACTACAAATGAAATGGGATAAAATTACTGTCAAAAAATTTCTACAATGAGCCCTAGCTGGTTTGGCTCAGTGGATAGAGCGTCAGGCTGTGGACTGAAGGGTCCCGAGTTCAATTCCAGTCAAGGGCACATGCCCGGGTTGCAGGCTCAACCCCCAGTAGGGGGCATGCAGGAGGCAGCCAATCAATGATTCTCTCTCATCACTGATGTTTCTATGTCTCTCTCCCTTCCTCTCTGAAATCAATAAAAATATTTTTTTTAATTTCTACAATTTGACCCAAATTGTCATGACTAGAAAAAAGTGTCAGTAAGACATATTTCTAAACATAGCTGGTACCCTGCAATACCCTAAAACCCAAGACACTTTTATTTCTAAAAGACCTTTTACTTGCCTTACAACAAAAGTAAGTGAGCAAATGAAAACATTATTTCTCCTCCCACTCCAAGGAATTTCACTTTGTTACTACCTAAATATCTAAAATTATAGGTAAGAATCCAGATCAAATATACTGCTAAAAAAATTGCAATCTGGAATAACAGAAAACAGAGAAATTTTACTCCTTAAAAAGAAGGCCCCGCCCAGCCAGAGTGACTCAGTTGAGCATTATCCTGTGCACCAAAGGTTGAAGGTTGGATTCCTGATCAGGGCACATACCTGGGTTTCAGATATGATTCCCAGGTAAATGTGTGCAGAAGGCAACAGATTGATGTCTCCGTGTGTCTGTCTGTCTCTCTCTCTCCCCGCCCCCACCCCCCA